CTTAAACACTTACAAAATCATATCAACAGAAGATCTATAAAACGATAGGAAATATATCTTCGGCGCAAGTTCTTCCGTAGGTTTCATTATATCACACATTGGAAGATTGCCCATATCGTTTGTTGTCTAATTTATATTTTTGTCGCCCAAATTGAAAATGTAAATGAAACATACTTCACTCAATATGTTGTGTTGCAAAACATTTTGTAAATAACCGAAAACAGTTTCTGAAACTCATGTTAATTTTGTAAGCAGGGTTTAGTGATCAATTGGAGAACAACAGCTAACTTTGTTAGAAACATTCGGGACTATTCCAAAATCGAAATCGAAACAAGGTAATTTAGCCAAGAAGTTTAACTTAAGCTTCAGGTATATCGATAATCTGAACTAGAAAAAAACGAGACCAGTAAAACCGACCCATCCCTTTCATATTGGATCTATGATACAAATTGAGTGAGTGGGTGAGTTGGGTTTAACGCCGCTTTTAACAGTATTCCAGTTATATCACGGCGTGTCAGCTTAATGTGGGAGGAAAGCTCGAAGTGATGCAGGTCTCAGACGTTTACTACTTTGGTGAAACCCACGAGCACGGGTATGGTGCTGACAAACCTAGAAACATAATCGGGGCGAACCGGGATTCGATCCCACAATCATAGGTTTCTGGCGCGCCCAAGGGACGCAACTCTGCACAGCGAATCGTGGCGCCTAAGACGACTGGACCACCCGTGCCCCCTGATACAGATTGAGAGTGACAAAACACTCTCCACAAGACTGTATGACAAGAGGGATGACTTCAACTTTCCAATAGTCAACTTTCCTTATATGTCGAGCAATAATCCTGCAGCTCCAGTTTTTGGTGTCTACATTAAACAATTGTTTAGGTATAATGTATTTTCTACCAATATTTCAAAGAGCGTCATACGACTCTTGCTCAGAAGCTGTTTGATCAACATTCCAGGCCTCAGCAAAACATTCAAAACGTTTTATATTAGACATGTGGAGGACATTTTCAAATTGACGCATCAGTGACAAAGATGATGTCCGATGCAGTTCCCTATTTTGACTTGTACCATATGTTCTCGTGTTTTTTATCAGGTGACCAACTCTCCTGCATTTGCCTGTGTTTGTAACGGGGGTCACCGGTAGGGCAGGACACGCTCACCTAGTATCATCACTCTTTGGTAGTGATTCGTAAATACATGTTGCTGATATAGTCGGAATCGTACAATCGACTCGGCTTTTGCAGAGATTTCTTATCAATATGGATGGTGGCTTTTATTTACTGATGCAAGTTGTCGAATTCCGAGACGTTCAATTTAACAGAAGTGAATCACGATGACAAATGTTGTTTTTTTTCAAGAGTGAAGTACATAAATTTTTTTACAGAAATCTAGGTCACACAACTACCTCCAGACCTCATTAAACTGCTCTGTCTTAGGATTTCATTTTTTATAATGTTGTCTAAAATTGCATCAGTTTTGTATGATATTGAAGTTACAACAATAAATTATATTTATGCAATGAAAGTTTGTTTTGTTGATATGGGGTTAGTAACAATGTCTTTCGGAAATATTACTTATTGAAACAATGTTTTGTTTTAAAGTTGGTATTTCAAGAAATTCTTAAACTGCAGGCTTAAGAAGGGGGAAACAACGTATTTTCTAAAGTCTTAATCATCTTGTAAACTATCTGTTCATCACATTTTCTCTGATTACATTTCTGTAGTTAACTTGAAGTCAATTTAAAGCAGGTTGGGTTTTCAGGAAAGAGCATAGAACAGACATTCGGAAATGTATTTTTTCGCATTCCTGAAACGTAAATACACCGTTTTATTGAGAATAGACAATACATCAGTCAAATTGGCGACAGTACGATAAAAACACCCGTACCTACAGCCCGTAGCCTCACACAAAACGTACTTGTCAATATGATACACGGAAGGTTACGATCCAAGGTCTGCACACTAAGAGATTGTTGGGTGTTTACGTAGATTTTAACTCATCGCAGGTACGTCCACAGCCGCAGAGCAATAAATACAACACATGGTGTATGCATCCTTCATTTGATGTCGGTGTGTTGCGGTGAATATAAGAAATACTTAAATGGGACACTTTTGAAGTAAAACGTTATATATACCCAGAGGCAAAGTTATTGTGAAATGGAATGTTTTCACTGGTGATCTTGTGGATTTTTGGATTTGAGAGAAAGGGTTTGTTAAAATGGAGGGAGAAACGCATACAAGCAGTTGTTCGAATTGCACGAAATTTGCAAGAAGCATGACGTGTTCGTCGCAGTATAATTTCAACACTGATTCTGTTTGTTATTTGTGTGTCACAATAACCTTTGCTTTGAGTGTATGAAGTTCACGCGGTAAACGTCGCATGACGGGAAAATGACGTCTATGCGGCACATGGCGTTCTTTTGTTTTCAGTAGACTTTAGTCTAGACATGACGTCAACGCTGACAGACTACTTCCCCTTTTCCGGGTAAACCCGGGGGAACTCACTAGCACGAAGAATACCGAACCGTTGTCCAGGATCACATGACCTCTTTAACCTTGTAATCATTTTTTTTAAATATTTTGGAAAAAAGGAAGAAATTTTGAATGTACCTTCGTGATAGAATTTCTTCGAAACGACCCAACCTTGTGGAGAATTAAGGCGTGAACACTTAAACTGTCGACTCCGTGCCTAGTCTGACAGTCAACAGGATTCAACAGTAACATAGGAATATTTTTCAGTGGATAGGCGACGCGTCACTACAAAAATGTTTAAATGATCGCCGTTGCAGCAATGACTACCACACGTTCGGCAGCACTTTGGAAATCCACCGGTTGCATTGAACGTGGCGACTATTTTGGAGTTGTGTACTTGACGTCAGGGTATGATGACGTCATGTCACTATGACTGACTCAGGTAATTAGCAGCCAGGTGTTTCTCATCTAATGATGATGTTATTCATTGTTGTTGTTGTAACCCAGTACCTAAACACGTACTGAAGGACGTGTTCAGTGCAATACACCTCGCCAGGAACTAATTTCATAGCCTTTCATCATGTGTTTACATATTATGTCATACAGACAGAGAGAAATTGTGTAATCAACCTACTAGATACCTCATAGCGAGATACATATTTTCCGGAACTGACGTTTATTTTGTAGAGTGAGTGCCAAACATTGTATCAACGTCGTGGCTAGGTCAGAAAGCTCGAGAAGGTTCATTCTCAAATAAACTCACGAAAATAAAAATGAAAATTAATTCTTAAAGAGGCACTAAGTTCGGGTAAATAGGAGGTTTGATTCTAGTCGTTGAAACAGCACTCAAATGTGTTGATGCATATCGATCAAACAATTATGATTTATCCTAGTTACATAGTGCAAACGTTTCAATGTCACACGAGAATGTATTTACGTCCAGCCGTATACTGATAATGGAGGAAAGTCAATAGAGCTTAGTTGCCTTTAAATAGACTAAAACTCATTATCTATGCAAACTGTTTATGTAAATAAAAGCTAAAAACAATTTTCAAAATCAAAAGCAATCTTTGCTAAAAACAGAGTCCATTTTGCGATTCCGACTATAGCATAATTCGTTTATGAATCACTATCAAATACTGATGCTGCAAGGTGTTCGCAAGAATACACGTCCCCTTCTGTAACCTATGCTGCACACTCCGTATTTAAAATACTACCACAGTTCCCATCTGTAGTGTTATAATAAACAAAAGCTTATCCCTGATACATCTTACCTTATGAATATATAAACACATTGTTTTTCTCATTCATGTGAAAGGTTCGTATTTACGTCCTCCTGCCATGTGACGTCATTCACTATTCAGCGTGGGAAGCTCGTGAACGGGGTCCTTATGACGAGAACGCTGTTCATGGGACGTGTGTATAAGTTTGTTAGTTTTGCATAAAACCGTTCCTTCTTTAGCAACCACAAATATCCTCATTAAGAAAAACATCCCTCCTGTGAAAAACTCAATCTCACCGCTGTCTAATTACTTTTCTCACAAACAATGTTTTGGTCATATTTCACAGTTAATTAGATAAGAAAATATAAGGTTTGGATAATTTCTGAAAAAAGAGCAAACCCCATTTCGCTGCCAATATCACTTCAAAGAATCATTCATTTTAGGTCAAAACAAGAAGGAATTTAAAGAAGAAAAAATAGATATGGAAGGGTTTATGAAGTTGCTAGTTAACAGAATGGTTATTCAGAGGCATCACGAAGGTAAATATGACCAGATTGTTATGTCGTAATTTAAACATCCAATATTCCCCGGGGTCTCGCGACTTGAGCACCTTAAAGTTCCGCCTCGGGAGAAATCTATAAGCCATATCACTCCGAAAATATTGGATTAAATATTCGTCTAGCTTCGTTGTAACTTTGCAAACTTTGCTTGGAGGGATCATTGTTATCCTGAATTTGTTAAATTGAATGAGGCGAAAATTGACACGGTGTGGGTGTATGGACAGTGGCCGGAGCTGGATGACCGTTATAGAATAGCCTCACTTAATAGTAACCGCCGCTCATCCGACTCTCATCAATGCTATGCTACTCTACACGATCGCAGTACCACACATCTCGCTAATACGATTTCTTCCGCGTGCGAGTATCGGTGGAGAAACGACGGGAGCTGTCGCCACAAGCCGCGGTTTTACACTTGGCCAAATATGTCTTAATTTTGTTTGTCGCTTAATGGTATTAGAATTAACAGAGAGCTTAGCGAAGGAATTGGAAGGACAGTTTTCTCAGAGATTTAGCCCGAGAAACACAGGAGTGAAATCTCCAAGTAGTCACAAATCTAATTACTACCCTATCTCTAACTAGCCCATTACTGCTCAGTACTCGGGTAGGAGGCGTTGCGTCGTCATGACAACCACCGCATCACTATCAGACTTGAAGCGAGACAATGAGAGAGCGTGTGCACAAGGCGCATGTTAACACGGGGACTGAACACGCTGCCTGATTAGTATATGTCCATGACGTCACATCCGCCCTAGGGATCTTGTGCTGTATAAGGCTGCAACACGCAGGCGCGAAAGCTGAGGGGAGAGCGACGAGGATCTAACTGGGCGCCTAACTTACTGCTTGAAAACTTGAAACTCCACAAACACAGGATACGAGAAGGGGGGCATACCACGAAACTTGAGAGAAGGTACGTTGATATACTTGTATGCATTATACTTATTTAAACTGTAGAATTAAGGCCAGTTTTCTACTTTTTAAAAATTAAATCTGTTCTTTAAAAATTCATATATTCAATATCAAAACAATCTGAAAACACCTTAAATAGAACTGTTTCCACATTTTGTAGATAGGAAATTTAATTACACATTGCAATAAACAGCAGGCGCCATGTATGTAGATGTGTGTAGATGTATCATACAATGCATGCACTATTTGCCACTGAAAGTCAACTCCTTTTTAGCATACGTTTGCGGCACAATGAAAAGGTCACACGCACTTGAGAAACTTCAATGGAAAAAAGTTATTTATCATACTGTATTTTCAAACGAAGAACGAACTAGGAAGCTTAGTATTGCTCTGAGAAATGTGAAGATAAGCAGGAACAATGATGCCGTGGATATTCCCCAAGTTTGTCTTGACATATTCATGAACGTACGTTTGCTCCAGGGAAATATTAATTAATTGAGCATTGGTTTGTGTCACTGAGACCCATGTTTACTGACACCTGCAGTTAACCCCATAATGACTAATTTGAAAATCTATCACGTTTGTACAAGATAGTTATTATTGAATGGCATTTAGATGTGATACACATAAGGAAGAGAATTTATGGATGCCAACTTCTTTATTCTTTATTATGACGAAACACAACGTTTCATCACCTGATGCAGGAGTAAGCACATACTCCGAAACGTTGTGTTTCGTCGTAATAAAGAAGTTGACATCCATAAATTCTCTTCCTCAAGAGAGTTATAGTGATGATACAGACTTGAGTTATTCGTACACACTGTGTACTTGTCGGACTAACTACCCATGACTTATACCATATATTTTATACCAGTACAGTAAACTAAGGTTATAAAGAACTCAAAGGGGCCACTAATTTTAGTTCATTATAACCATAGCTCGTCATAAGCATATATACAGCAAATGATCTCAAACCAGTTCGTTAGCCGTCACGATATGGCTGAAATATTGCCGATGTGACGTAAAGCTTTAACTCACTCACTCACCAGTTCGTTATACCCATCAGTTCGTTATAAGCGTGTTCGTTATTAACGCAGTATACGTCATATGCCATGTGTTATATACAAGTATACATATACTTACGGGGCTAATTGTAAACACTGCATATCTTGTCCGACTAACTACCCGTATCGTAAACCAAGTGTTATATATGCATATACTTACTGAGGGTAATTGTAGACACTGTATATATTGTCCGACTAACTACCCGTGTCGTATACCATGTGTTATATACACATATACTTACTGAGGCTAATTGTAGACACTTTATATCTTGTCCGACTAACTACCCGTATCGTAAACCAAGTGTTATATACCTTTTATGTACTGACTGGTAATAATTGACTAATTGACGTAATGGAAGTGTCCTTTACTTGTTCTATATGTGCTATATTTTTATTTAATATACATTTTTATGCGATATGTATGTATTTATGTACATAACTCATATCACACTTGAGTGAAATATCATTTTATACCGGAACGTCTTTCACTCTGCCTCAAAGACACTATGGTTAGTAGAGTAATATTGTGAAGCAAATACAAAATAATAGAATCATATTTTGTCAAATTTGTCTTTTCTCGTGGCCTGACAAAATTGACTGGAGTCTGTGCCACTCATGTCAGGCCATCCAGAAACGTTTCGGAGAATGTAAAGACTCCCCAACACTGCAGCCTTCTACATTACCCGGATTGTCACATGGCTGTATTTCTAGCAAACCCGGGTACTCTTCCAATGTCAGTCAACAGATTGGGAGGTACCAAACCTAAGGCATCGAGAACAAAGGTCATAACGCTCACAAGTTTTGACGTCACGAACAAAGGAAGACGTCATCGCTCTGATCTCAGTAAATTAGAATTATGACGTCCTCTTGTGACCGTTACCTATCGGAATCGCTTTTTGTACATGCCGAAATGTTCTTGCACCCAATCTCGCCCAATATATTTACGTATTGCGAGGAGCCACGGGTCCGACATGCGTTCAGTTTGAGTCGAAGCCAACAGAAAGCAAATCGGCCCAGTGAAACTCCAGGCAGGTTCCTAGGCACATCGGATTATGTGGACAATGGCAATAGGAGATTACTGTCGGGGACCATTTCAATATTGTTCATTTCTTTTGGACTTTTTCAATAATACCCTCAGAGTATACCTGATAGTAAAATAAAAGATCTCAATCAATATCATTATAAATTTTACAACTGATTTAACGTATACCAACATAAAAGTCAATGCAGTAAAAACAAACAAATATTTGGTATATAGCACACCATAGAATGTTCATTATGAAGTATGTTTGAAGTGTCGCGCACAATAGGGCATGTTATATATATATGTTTATACATTGTTAATCAATGGTGATGGTGTCAACCTAAGTTATGATGTCATTGGTTGTGGACACTCTTGAAGGACAAGTTTTCTTCCTACAAATCCCATGACTGGCAAGCATGTCTCTTCTTGTTCGGTTTGAGCATGTATCCTTGAAAACGTAGGATAGTCCTCCATGATGAATTCATCTATGATTGATGATTGACTTGTAATTGTTATCATGTCTCACATGTCATGACGTGAACATCTCTCTATGCAGTGCATCTGGCAACTGCACGTCATTAATTCAGAAATGACAAAACACCTCTCCAGAAGATTGTTTGACAAGTGTGATGACTTCAACTTTCCTAATAGTCAACTTTCCCTTCATGTCAAGCAATATTCCAGCAGCACCAGCCTTTGGTGTTGACATTTCAAAACTTTTGAGGTACAATCGAGCATGATCTTTCTTCCAAGATTTCAAAGAACGCCATACGACTCTTGCCCAGAAGTTGTTTGATCAGGGTTACAACATTCAAGGCCTCAGTAAAGCTTTCAAAAAGTGGAGTCCATTTTCAAATTTTACGCGTTTGTGACATAAAAGTCCATGCAATTCCCTATTGTGACATGTACCATATGTTCTCGCGTTTTTCAGGTGAACAATTGACTTGCCTTTGCATGTGTTTGTGACGGGTGCCACCGATTGGGCAGGTTGTGTTCACCTTTTCGAGAACACCTGGTACCATCACTATTTGATAGTGATTCCTTTAAGGATTGACTGTGTATTTTTTTCGGTTCATTGAGGTATGAATCGAAAAACCGATGTGCAAACTGTACAAATCCGCGTAGCGGATTCTTACAAAAGTTTAGGATTCCCCGACATTCCGTAGTAATGAAAGTAGGCCGCTTCGGTGGGCGTGGGAAATGAAAGCAATAACACGTGACCAATTCAGCTAATCAGAATACAGGAATTTCCATGAACACAAAGAAAATTTAATTATAAACACATGATCATGATATAGTCGGAATCGTACTATCGAGTCTGCTTTATGCAGGGTTTTGGAAAGGGTTTTGTCGTTTTATTAACTGAAACGTTCTCACGTTGTGAGATACTCCCTGTCTTATCAAAACACCCAAACGAGGGAGTACTACCATCAAAGGCTAGGCGCAGCTCGGCCTGGTGACACTCTGTGCACACCTTAATCCATTCCATGTCGGTCACGTGAGACGCTTTTTACGTATATATACGCACCTGTGAGGATCGGGAGATTTCATTATATGATCTGCCTCACTGTATGTATATATAACTCCATTGCTTGGATAGTTGTTCTTAAATATTGACTGTGTATTTTTTTCGGTTCATTAAGGTATGAATCGGAAAAACCGATGTGCAAACTGTATGAATCCGCGTAGCGGATTCTTACAAAAGTTAGTTACATTAGTTCCCTGAAAACGGGAAGACCCAGTTGGAAAAATGCTAGATCTACTTAGAAATGAAACCCGAAGAAATGAAAGTTGTGGCACCGAGGCGAGCGGGACAAAAACAGGCGAGCGAGTCTGCACATTTGCTGTTTCATTCCTTCTCGGCCTTCGGTCTCAAGGGTTGTATGGATAAGGAATATGCGTGAATTCTGCTAAATGCCCAGTGCATGGCGATACACATGAGCAGAAAGGGAATTCCCTCGCATGTTATATTAAGATTCCCCGACATTCAGTAGTAATAAAAGTAGTCCGCTTCGGTGGGCGCGGCTTCCCTTTTTACATTCATTGGGAAATGAATACAATAACACGTGACCAATTCAGCTAATCAGAATGCAGGAATTAACCACTGTACTTCCTTACCCAGGTCGATTAATTACCCACAGTCATTTGAGGCATAACAGGCATATTTCTTATTGTGGCATAAAACAAAATGCACCTACTAATACAGTATACGTAATATTGACCTACATCGGGGCTGCTTGAACACTATTTACAACCATTGTGGTTTGCCTATGTTAAATACCTACAGACACTGGTTTGTGCTACCTAGTTCCTGGACGTCGGTCCCGCCGTCCAGATAAGAAGTCCGCGAATCTTCAGATGCAGCAGCAGGTTTATAAGGGTTACTAATCGTTTGTCAGATGATAACCATCACAACATTATTGATTGAAATTTCATGATGCCTTGATAACTTTTATGTGAAATGAGTGAGTATATATGCCGCTTTTAGCAATATTCCAGCAATAGCACGGCGGGGGACACCAGAAATGGGCTTCACACATTGTACCCATGTCGGCAATCGAACCCGGGTCTTCGGCGTGACGAACGAACGCTTTAACCACAAGGCTACATGACCACCCCCGTGGAATAAAGACAAGATTAAGATCATTAGAATGGAATAAATACGATAAATGTAAAACACTAACAATAATGCAAACCCCAGTCAGGGGAAGACGAGCATGACGCTTAATACCGTTTGTATAAACTATTATAAATAATTAAATCCTTTTCCCCAATCCCCGAATTGCACAAATGGAGCCCTACTCCACTGATAGACTTTCCTATCTCATATTCTTGTTGACTTTAACGCCTTTTTGTGTGTGTAAGTGAGTGTGTGTGTGAGAGAGAGAGAGAGAGTGTGTGTGAGAGAGAGAGAGAGAGCGAGAGAGAGAGAGAGAGAGTGTGTGTGTGTGTGTGTGTGTGTGTGTGTGTGTGTGTGTGTGTGTGTGTATTCCCACTTGAGGTGTGTATACTGAATGTAGCATATTATCAAGGGTTTTGTTTGATCCAGTCTTGTACTATCGACTGCCAGGTCTTCACACGTCACACCTGCTACCTTACCAAGGCGGCGTGACGTCTCTGTGTTATATACACGCGTGTAGCAGCCGAAGTGCCACCTTTTGTAGTTCATCAGTAAATATGTGTCAGCAGCGTATATATCTCCTCGATATTGTCAATTTGTCATTGAGCACCTTTTGTCGCTAAAAGGAAACAAGAAAACGTACAACGCATAGATAAAAACTTCTGGTTCATTTTTAATAGCGAAGTAGTAATGTAGATTCTTACACCGTTATCAACCTAGGTGAGATGAGGTGAAATTGGGTTTAACGTCGCGTCCAAGATTATTACACTTATATAGCGACGTGCATGTACGTGTGTGTGTTTGTGTGGCTGCTTGTACTAGTCCGGACTGATGCCGATTTATAGTGCTAGCTCACTGAGATACCATGCCGCAGTTTAACATGAATACCCCACTCAGACACAGTATACTGACTCCGAGCCGACCAGTCCTTGTTTTAGCCCCTTAATGCCGAGCGCCAGACAGGGTAACAACAAGTACCATCTTTTAACGTCTTTTGGTATGACGCGGCCGGGGATCGAACCCCGGACCTTCCGCTCTCCGGGCGGACGCTCTACCACTAGACCACGGAGGTCTAAATCATGTATGGAGAACAATCATGACGGTGAGCGTGCATCCGTGTGTGTGCGTATGCGTGTGTGCGCGTGGGTGTATGTATGCATACCTCTCGGTCCAGTTATATGCAAAGTGAATATATTTGCATAGCATTGATGACGAATCTCATCTGAAATTATTTCCGGGCGGACGCTCTAACACAAGACCACGGAGGCGGTCGTTATCAACCTAGAGTGACAACCAAAGTGATGAGGGGGATATATGCATAATATATGTGATGAGCAGATTAACATCAACAGCAGATAATAAATAACAAGTTGCTCAAAGATGATTGGCTGAAGCCAGATGTACAGTAAGAATCTACATCGAAACGTCGCTATATGCAATAAACCAATCGTTATCCATAAAGCTGTACGTTTTCTTATTAACTCATTAACTTCAGAATGCCAATCAAACAAACGGGCTGTTGTAGCAAATTGGTAAAAACATCGCATTAAATTTAAATGAATTGCACCCTTCAACCTGCAAATGATTGACAAAGCTTTTAAACCTGTTTTTATCATGACCATTATCTATAATGCAAAAGACATTAGGTCGCAAGGACGTAGGCCCTCACCAAGCATTTATATACAAGCAATCATGAGGAGAGAGAAAAACATATACACTTTAGAAAGTAGAATGATTGGTTTGAAATAAATCACAAGAATAATTCCTGAGTGCAAAATATCAAGTGTCTATATTAGATGGGTTTTGATTGTGGTTTCGGTTTAGACGTGTCACAGATATCCACAAAAAACATAATTGTATTAAAACGGCTTCTATGTTGACAATCTTCTCTGTGTATTATTGAGGAATATTTTTCTGGTCTGTATCGGGGTCGGGAGGGGGTATATATCACCGCGTAGACCACTTAGGTCGAAGTCAATAAATAATGGTAATTCAAATATCAACAGCAACCTTAGTAATCTGTGAAGGGCTTCTAAACTTAAAACCAAATTAGTAATGAACTAACGAAGCATGCCAGTTGTGTTACCGAACGTAGGCCAGCACTAGTGTCGTGATCTCTGAAACAAATGATTCATCAGTCAAATCCCATCATGGTCTGTTGTGTAGTGGACAATATCCCCGCGAGGGATACTCAAAGAAAAAAATCTCAGAAAGAATTTAAGAACAATTGAAACTCTAGAAACTTTTTTGAAGAGATTAGGCTCTATTGGCAACAATGGGAGTATAATTATCACAATGAATACTGCGGTAGTAACTGTGGAAATCGTATGTCAACATTGTCCGGATGTAACGAAGTCGGATGTAACGAATACAATAATGTGACTGAAATTACTTTCATTGTAAAGATTGGAAAAAACAAACAAGTTGTTATTCCAGCTGTTATGAAAGTTTACTGTATAAAGAACATCTTGTGTAAACTATATGCAATGGTGACAACGTGATAAAGAATTTCTTTCATTAAGTTCAGTTTTATCCATAACCAGCATGTCTATATTTCAAGAAAGGTCAAAAGTAGGCGTGCTTGCCATACATCCGCACAGGAACAACCAGTAGTGGGTTTGATACCAGATCCGCACCGAATTTGATCTCAGATCTGTCATCCGTAAGACCTGCATCACTTTGGGCTTTCCTCCCACGTCAAGCTGACGGGCTGTGACGTAACTGAAATATCTGAGATGGTAATTAACGATAAGTACTCGTTCATATCTTTAGTGTATATCATCATATCTACAGTATATATCCCAACAACAACGCTGTATAGCATCGCGTCTTTGGTATATATATATATAATCATATATGCGGTGTATACATCATATCTACGATATATATAATCACATCTAAGATATTTGTCATAGATACGAGGGGCGGTCGGGTAGCCTAGTTGTTAAAGCGTTCGTTCGTCACGCCGAAGACCAGGCTTCGATTCCCGACATGGGTACAACGTGTGAAGCCCATTTATGGTGTCATCTGCCGTGATATTGCTGGAATATTGCTAAAAGCGGCTTAAAACCTCACTCACTCATAGGTACGGTATATATATCATCGTATATTTCGTATATTTAATTATATATTTAGCAAATATCATCATATCTACGATAAACTTGTATGTCATAGTAAACGTAATATGTATATGTACCATATATCCCGTCTCCGTTGTCTGGTGGTAGAGCGTCCGTCCGGAGAGCGGAAGGTCCGGGGTTCGATCCCCGGCCGCGTCATACCAAAAGACGTTAAAGGATGGTACTTGTTGTTACCCTGTCTGGCGCTCGGCATTAAGGGGCTAAAACAAGGACAGGTCGACTCGGAGTCAGTATACTGTGTCTGAGTGGGGTATTCATGTTAAACTGCGGCATGGCACTAGTACAAGCAGCTACAAACACACACACGTGCAGGCACGTCGCTATATAAGTGCAATAATCTTGGACGCGACGTTATACCCCATTTCACCTCACTTCACCTCACCATGTACCATATATACGGTCTATGTCAATACATCACCATTATATCAACATATCTTTAGTATATACCATCCTATCTACTGTGGATATCATCATATTAACGGTATATATAATCATATATGTGTTTGAGGATGGTCAATATTCTGTATTAGGAATTCACAAGCGTGATAACCTCTTTATCATATAATGTCATTCTTCCATTTTGTGCTTTAAAATCTCTTCCTATCTCTCTCAACCATTACCGAAACATTGCAAGTTTTCCTGGAATGTGCGCATTAATATATATTACGTCAGAAGGTAAGTGATATGTTAGTCGGACAGTGACATCAAACTGATACCTGTTTCTTATAG